CAGTACAGTACAGTACAGCACAGTACAGTACAGTACAGTACAGTACAGTACAGTACAGTACAGTACAGTACAGTACAGTACAGTACAGTACAGTACAGTACAGTACAGTACAGTACAGTACAGTACAGTACAGTACAGTACAGTACAGTACAGTACAGTAGGCTCAGCCATATGGCTGCTTCATCTTGAGGCAACTCAAATTTACATGGAAATATACATTTTGCTCTTTGACCATCAACTGTCCATCAGGAGTATTAGGGTTAGGAAAAACTCTATTCATACGTGTAATAATCGTCAAATCATACGGTGGACTTGCGATAATCCCGCCGAGTTTTAACGATTGGGAACACCCAAAACAGGTGCGAACTAAAGGAGGACAACACTGCAAAAGACTAAGCACAAATGTTCCTACTGGAGGATTGACAGCGGTAGGTAATGGGACCTGTTGGGATCCATGTGGCGTTGCTGACGCTGACCGAGGTGCATAAACTGGCTGTTGCATTGACGTCATATAACGTAGAAAAACTATCCTAACATAAAACTAAACCCTAATACTAACCCTTACCCAGTAACCCTAACCTAACCCTAACCTAAACCCTAACCTAAACCCTAACCTAAACCCTAACCTAAACCCTAACCTAAACCCTAACCTAACCAACACCGCGGAAAAACGTCTGCGCATGCACGAAATTATGAAAATATGGCGGGGAATTTGAATATCAATTTCTAAAACAAAAACATGCTTATTAATTGGTCAAAAATTAGTAAAACAAACGAGAAAATATAGCAAATGGGTAGACTAGACATTAATTGAAAGCGTCCTGGCATTTAAAGTATGGAATGAAATATAATTCATGTAAAAAATTGTTGATTTTAACGGACACGACTTCGAAAATTTTTGCAAAATTATTCAAAACAAAAATTCAAACTAAAAAGTTAAGAAAACTCTCGAAAAGTTAAGCTTCTTAACCCACTCAAATTGTAGAATAAATCCTAAAGTTTAATTATTGTGAACACGCAAATTTTTTATATTTGACGACACAGGTTTTTTTAAAGAAATTTATCTCAAACGAAAATTCGGAAATTGTCATTGCTTAGTTGATAAACAAAATGTTTCAGACGATAAATTTGTCAACAATCACCTTTAGTTCATGTTCTTGTACAATACAATTTCTTGAACCTTCTGGCTGTATTTATTCCTAACCCCAACTTATTATAAAAATTGATATAAAAACGGAAACCTTATTTTGAAGTATACTATCTAGCAATTGCCGTTCGCCATGGTCTAGCAAACAACGAATTCGATTAATTTCCCCATTTCAGCGTTTTATCCCCATTTCAGCGTTTTATCCCCATTTCAGCGTTTTACCCCCATTTCAGCGTTTTATCCCCATTTCAGCGTTTTACCACCATTTCAGCGTTTTACCACCATTTCAGCGTTTTATCCCCATTTCAGCGTTTTATCCCCATATCAGCGTTTTACCCCCATTTCAGCGTTTCATCCCCATTTCAGCGTTTTACCACCATTTCAGCGTTTTACCACCATTTCAGCGTTTTACCCCCATTTCAGCGTTTTACCCCCATTTCAGCGTTTTACCCCCATTTCAGCGTTTTACCCCCATTTCAGCGTTTTACCCCCATTTCAGTTTCCGCTTTCAGTTTCCGTTTCCACGATTCAGTTTCAGCGTTTTATCCCTACCCGTAATGCAACCATATATGCAGAAACGCATATTTTCACCTCTGTGCCTAATTAAAGCAGTGAATAACAAATGAGAAAGCAATTAATCACGAACTTTCCACACCAGGCAAGCTGAAAAGTTTCCTTAGCCACGGTGGGAATCGAACCCGCGACCTTTGGGATACTGGTCCAATGCTCTGCCAGCTGAGTTACGTGGTCAAGTCTGTTCGAGTTGATGATATTTTAGAACTGAGTCTAGTTCCTTAAGATTTACAACCAACTTAATAATAATTATGAACATGTGAGTATAGTTTATTGAAGTGAAAGCATCAACTTAAGTTCCAAAGGAGGTTAATTTTTAATGGTTTTAGACTCAACTCTCAACGTTGAAAATATGCGATTCTGACTAGCATTTTTTATCGGGCATGTACTTGCTTATCTTTTAACCATTTAGCATGAAGAAAATATCATTTAACATTCTTTCCGAAGATTAAAAATCTCGTTTTCATACGCAAAGTAGGCTAATTCAGATACAATAGCGAGCTGAACTTTGATTATCTTTTTTTATACACTCTGTACAGTGTGTCTCGAAAAAAGTGAATCCTTACAAAATTAATTCGAATTAGCTATAAAGTATTGTACTATTTAAATTTGACTGCTTTAATTGCTTTGAATTAATGGTTGGGTAAGATCACAAGGTCTTGTACTCATGCGACAAAACTCTTAAAAACTTTTAAATGTTCTAATTTTTATTTCTTTAAGTTTTGTCCCATGAGTACAAAACCTTGTGTTCTTACCCAACCCTAACCAATATTTGAAAACAACTGGAGGTGTCAAATTACTACAATACGTTATAGCTAATTTGAATTTGACAAGGTTCACTTTTTTTTTAGACACAATGTATAGTGTAAACGAGTTTAAAGTAAAAAAGGTTTCAGCGGCATATCGTGCTGCCTGTTCTCTTCTCTTTTACATTCTTTATTTCAACACAAACTTGGAAAATTGCAGTTCATAAGCTTGGAAGTTATGCTTCATGTTGTTTATTTATGTACGTTGCCGCCCGGGGCAGGCGACAACTTTTTTAATTCTAAGGATAGAAAAAATAAAATATAATAAAATATATTGCTATATACTATACCGAAGGTGAACACCAAACATTTTTGGCTGTTTTGTTATTTCGTGGTTTATACATAAAGCCACGAAATTACAAATCAGCCAAAAACGTTTGGTGTTCACCTTCGGTATAGTATATAGCAATATATTTTATTATATTCTATCTTTTCTATCCTTAGAATTATATACTGCCTTACCTTGCCTCAATCTCGCAAGCCATGCAGGCTCCCTACTTAAATTAGAGCCTGGCTTGCGAGATTGGCCTTGGTTTGTGTTGCATTGCATTGCATTGCATTACATTGCATTGCATTGAATTGCATTGCCTTGCATTGCATTGCATTGCATTGCATTGCATTGCATTGCATTGCATTGCATTGCATTGCATTGCATTGCATTGCATTGTATTGAATTTTGATGTATGTTTTAACGTACATTAACAATATGCATGTACCTTGTTCTCTCTGAGGACGAAGACAAACACACCCAAGGCAATTGCGGCTGTTTTGATGATCTCGTTGATTGACAGAAGCACAATCCTCAGTGACACATTTCTCTGATACATACACGGCGTATCATCGACACACTCTTCACAACCTTCGCGGCACGGTAGACAGTCGTATAAACTGTAGTTTGCTTTCCCTTCTGCTGCTAAAACTTCTCGTCCTTCGAAGTATTTCCTTTTCGCATTAGGATTAGGGAAATAAAATCCTTTGCGGCAGAAGCAGCGATAGTTTCCAGCTGTGAAACCACCGCCAGGCACATGGACGCACTATACAAAAAGGTACGAGTAAAAATATGTCAGAAATGATTTCTCAACAACGTGGTGGTTCCATTGTTACCTCTAAATGTTTTCATATATGCCATTAAAATACACCATACTAATTTCTCCTTTCCAGAGGATAAAGTTAAACGGTGTCTTGCGACCTTTTAAATCGCTATCCGTCTTATAAATTCGAAGTTTGAGGATGGTGGCCGAGCGTTGCCACTTAAAAATTTTCAGCTTTTTACAAATTGAAAATCAAAAATTAAAGACAATTAAAGTAAAATAAAATGTTAATGCAAAAGTAAATGTAAATACCACTTACAAACTCAAATAAAGTTGTTTTTTTTTTCATTTGAAATGCGAAAGCTAAAACAATTTAAAATATAAGTTCATTCCAAATACAACTTCAACTGAAAACTAAAGTTATATTCAATGTGAAATGCAAACAAAAATAAAAGTAAATTTTTCTGTGGCCGAGCGCTGCCACTACCATGATGCCATGCGCGCGTGACAAATTTTTTGCTTGCAAGAAATTTTGCCCGAAAATCGAAAGGCGATGCATGCGGAGGAGGCTACAGGTATTGCAGGCTGAAAGGATTTGTTTCTTTGGTTTGTATCGATTGTTTGCCAAGCATCGATGGTTCAAGCAAGGTTCGCTTTCAAGTTTTAATTTTTTTCATGTGTTGATGTCGGACGTAAGAGAGGCGTTGTGGAAAAATGATAATTATCTTCAAGAATCCATGGTAAAGTATGTTGGCCAAAACCTTCAAAGACGTGAAATTCTGGATTTTTTAACTCGTGACTTCCCGCAATATGCATGGACCGAAAACTCCGTCATTTTAACTTCTATTTCAAAGATAATAGCGTGACAGTAGATGAAGTCATCCAGGCGATTGAAACTGAACTAAAAGGACCAGGACGATTATTGGGATATCGCGCAATGCACAGAAAATACGGCAAGAACATGGCCTAAATGTTACCCGTGATAAAGTTTACGATGTTTTGTATGAATTGTGCCCTGAAGGTCTCGAAGAATGAGGCACGTGGCGTCGGTGGAAAGAAACAACGAAAGAAAGGCAATTTCACCACAAAAGGAACTAACTGGGTCCACTCACTCGATGGCCACGCTAAGCTAATGGGATATCAAAATTCTCCTTTCCCATCAGCTATATATGGTTGCCTGGATACAACAAGCCGAAAACTTCTCTGGCTTAGAATATGGGTAACAAATAGCGACCCCGAAATAATTGGACGATGGTACCTGGAGCATCTCTACGAAACAAAGATAATTTCAGCCATTCTTAGAGTAGACAAAGGAACTGAAACAGGGGTAATGGCCACGATGCATTCTTTCTAAGGAGGTATCATGGAGACATGGATCCACACGAGACAGTTATTTATGGGCATTCAACATCAAATCAAGTAAGTTTTAATAATATCGGCAGAAACTCTCAGATATAATCAATGAAAGTAGAGGGAAAATACTCTGTAATTATCAGAATACTCCTGAGGCACATAATAGACACAATCATACAGAAGGTTGACTCAGCCAAAAGAGCGTTACCGCTGTCACGCCATTATTCAGAATGTTTTGTCATCAAAATGCTGATGCCATGGTTTTAGTCAGAGTGCTTATGAGAAGTATTC